AGCAGGCCAGGATGCTTGAGAAGGAATGTATAGAAATGTATAAGCAGGAAGCATGTACTGCTCTTTTTGTGGTAGCTCATGCTTGAATTTCAGGAAGTTGAATTGTCTTCTGTTGGGACAATTTCATGGAAGATTTAGGTTGGTATTATAGAACGTAGAAAACACCAGTTGTTCCCTTAAAGGTAGGGACACTTATTCAGCATCCCAGATGAAGTAATGGGGCCAAATAGTGCTTGACAATGTTTTCCTGGAAGCGCTGATGGTAGAAGTAAGTTTTTCTTCAGACAGTTGTTTGGTATTCTATGCTTTGTGTGCATTCTGTGTTGCCCAGCTTTTCTACCTTCTCTGCTTTGCTGTGCCAGCTGCTTTTTAGTGATGCAGTTGAGTTCTGTTCCTAAATTTAAAACCTTACCGTGTGAATGGAAAAACTCTGCAGAACCCGTGCTCAGTGTTTGCTTGGAAAACAAGGAAGAACCGGAGTTCAAGGGTGGAGAGTAACTGCTCATCAGGAAGTAGTGAGGTTTGGGGTGGAGGGTAATTCTGGATTTAGCAGATCGTTTTTACTTTGTTTCTGTTTTCTTCATGATAAGAGAAGATACTAATGTTTTTGGGTTTGGCCTTTTGGGTTTTTAAAGCACCTTAGAAGAGCTCTTTTATTGCTGCCCAGTCCTTCATATAACGTTCTTGCCTCCTGAGCACCACAAAACTCAGGAACCATTTATGGCCTGGAATGTGTCATCTGCTCATGAGTCATCAAGTTCTAATCAACACTAGTACTGCCAGAGACAGCTGATTTACTTCAGTCTCTGAACAGCTGCCCTTCTTCTAGATGGACTTCCGGGGACAGGATGCTAGTGAGGATGATAAGTTCTCTCAGCTTTTTCAAAAGGTAGTACTTAACGTCCTGTCAAAGACAAAAGTTATCTTTCAAGACAAGAGCAGCTCTTGGGAAGCAGCAGTCATACAGGGCTGTTTTCACCTGAGCTTCTGACATTACTTACCAGGCAGTCCATAGGCTGTAGTGAAGAATGCACAAACCTCTGCTTCTGCAGCGTTGATCTTGTCTACTTGTTGACATGGCAGGTACCTTTGCTTAGAAATGGTGTGGGTACAAAGTGGTGGATCATACCAGCAGGTTGTTGTTTAAAAGTGACCTAGTCCTAAGATGCTTTTGTTGACCAGAAACTACAGGCACCTCAAGATTGAGATCTCTGGCGTTGAGACTGAAAGATGGCATAGACGGTCTTAAAACTGTAGAGAGACTGAAAAGAGAGACAACAGAAATTATGGAGAGATGGAATTGTAATTTTTGAATATAAAATAATGTGATCGTGTTAGTTCAACAGAACAAATGATTATGCATAGCATATCTGGAACACTGTCAGACCAAAAGAAGTAGAGCAAGAAGTACCAAGCCAGTGAACCAGGTCTGGCAGGTTGGAGTAGAATAGAACTAAGGAAGAGAATACTGAGGAGAGACTGCCAGCTAATGCAGAAGAGTTAGCAGTCTGTGGCCATTGCCTGGAAGACTCCTGATATGTAGATGGATAGTTTTGATGTTGGGCCCTCAGGAACTTTGTGTGATCAAAGAGATTGCATTCCGATCTTGTTGGTAGTTGTGGGGAAAGCTGTCTATTCCCCTAAGAAGTGTCCTCTCTACTGACAGTGATGTGGGTTTGTGTCTTTATGTGCATATAAAAGTAATGTTACTCTTCTCACTTTTGTTGGAAGTAATGCCACTGAGTCGCTAAGGCCCAGGCTTACATTCTGCACTTTATTTCAAATTTAAAAAAACCTTTTGAGGTCATCTCTTCAATAGTATTTGAGTGCAGTCAATTTCAATGCTGTTCTTTTGGTCTAAAATTAATTTGTAAGCTATATTGAATGCTGGAATGTGTTTGAGAGTGGATGATTCTTCTTTGGATGAGTTACTGACATGATTTTGCTCAGCCTATTGGTGTGATGGCTTTCCTTCAGCCTTTTATGGCAAACTACATTTTGTTTCTGTAAGGAGTATTAGGATTTTGGTAATCTCTTGAACATGACACATAGAATTGAAAAAGTAACTACTATAAGCCTTTAATTTCTCCTGTTGTACGCTGGGAGAGGATGCTGATATAGAAGATATGACCATACCAGTTCTACACATTGTGCCAGACTGTACACAGGTACACCGTGTGGGGAAAAAACAAGTGGTAGTACTTGTTTAACTGTATATTATATTGCAGGTGGGAACCAGCGTGAGCTTGCTCGCCAGAAGAACCTGAAGAAAACTCAGGAGATCCTCAAAGGCAAAAGGAAAGAAGATAGCTTGTCTGCTTCTCAGAGGAAACAAAGGTAAGATCTAGTGAAGTTGAGTAAATGTTTAGGCTGAGAAAGGAGAGTGAGATGGGTCAGAAAGAATCCAGTGTCTTAGCTGACACAGCATTTGAATACTTTGTTTTTATCCATTGGCTAATCACTTGCCAGAGCATAAACTGTTGATGAAATTTTGCTGTATCTGCTATTAAGATGATGTATTTTATTACATCCTGTAAAGTTTGTTTTTTTTTTTTGACCAGTTTTTTGCCTACTGCAAACAGGAAAAGACTGTGTAATGCTTTCTTGAAGATGTTTGATCCATTATGTCCTTTACTTCCAAAACCGAAGGAATTACATGAGGTCTACTAATCAAGTGAATTGTCTGCCTCATGGAGTAACGCATGCACTGAAAAAAAGAGTAATAAAAACACTGTGCTTGTGGCTAACTGAGAAATTCTTTTTTCCTTTTTCAGGTGGGGGTTACTAAAGGGAAGGAATTCTGCTTCAAAAAATTGTGAGCCAGTATCTGATATCCAACTGTTTTTTCTTCACAGGGACTCTGAAATCATGCAGCAAAAGCAAAAAGCAGCTAATGAAAGGAAGTCTCTGCAGGCAGGAGCAAAATGAGCTGCCACTATAGGGAAGATAAGAGTGCACTGATGAAGCAGAAGGACGTAGAAGATCATTCATAAGAGTCCAGCCATTAAATGATTAAATGTTTATTGTGCAGAGTTGTTCAACTATCATTAGAGTATTTTCTGGTTACTATAGGCCTAGTTGTCTACAGTGCTCTTTCAAAACTGACTACACTCTTCTGCATGTCTGTGAATAAAAGTACCAAGCAATAGCTTTATTCTAGCTTTTGCTGCATTTGTTAGTTTTACTTAATGGTTCCAGTAACAGAATTTCTGAATCTACAGTTAGACCAGATTTGGTTGCCTGGATTCTTGAAAGTACAGCTTCATTCAGAATGGAACACACTTGTAAAATGTGCTTAACCTTGCAGAGGTCTGAACTGTGAATCTCAAAATATTTTTACAATAAAATGTTGCATGAAATACTGTCTAATCTGAAAGTTATGCTTCATAATTAGTTGATTTTTAAGAGGTTACCAAGAACATAAGGAATGGATAATCTTGTGGAGAAATGCAGTATAAGAACATAAGTGTAATAAAAAGTATAAGTGAAGTTTATAAGAAATGCATATTATAAGCACTGTTACATACAGTTTAAGTCTGCCCTATAGGAAAAAATACCTCTTGACTTGCAGACTTTATTGGTATACAAGTGACTTAATCAAGTCCTGATACTAACTTAAATAATCTGCAGACTTGATGTTAATGAGTTTCAATGCAAGCAAATCTTGAAATTGTCACACCCCTAAAATTAATTGAAATTACTGCTGCAACCTGCCTCAGGAATAAAAGTTAGTGTGGAAAAACTCGGCCCTTGCTTCACAGCCATGCTTGAGTATATTGTATACTGACCAGGGGAAAACTGTTGAGGAAACTTCCCTGTCTGACCATCCAGGAGCCACTCTGACAGCCACATTCACACCACCTGAGCTGGGGATGAAGCCCCTTCCAGCTACACACTTCACACTCAGATTCAGACCAGGATTCCTTACCAACTCAACCCCAGGTTTCCCATAGCAGAGTGTCATATATCCTGATGTTCAATATAATTTAATCTTGATGCAATTACTAACAAAGTCACACCTCCACCTGGTGCCTCTGTAGAGGGGAGCCTAAACAAAGGAACCTCTGGCTTTTACACCCTCACAGTCTAGGGGTGGGTGGTGACTCCTGCTGTGTCTCAGTTCCCCAGCTGGTGCCACAGTGCCTGTGCCCTTCGGTGTGCAGTGGGTTGGCCTCTAGCCTTGGGCTCCCACTGCAGCTGCACCCCGAGCTGCCTGCGCTGAATGTGTTCCTCTGCAACTGGTCCAGTCTCTAGAGAAAGATTTTGAAGCCTTTGCTTTTTAAACTGTGTTCTGTCTAAGTACATTCATTCACTGGTAACAGGCCCTTGGCTCAGCTTGAGGAGAGCTGGAAGGAAGATGTAGCTGGTGCTGGCAATTAACACCTGCAGTAGTTAGAAGTTAAGCAAATTCACAGAATCACAGAATTGTTAGGGTTGGAAGGGACCATCCAACTGGATGATGTGGAGATTATCCAGTCCAGGCCCCCTACTGAGGCAGGATCACCTGGAACACATGCCACAGGTGAGTTTTGAATAACTCCAGAAACGGAGACTCCATGAGTTCCCTGGGCAGCCTGTTCCAGTGCTCTGCCACCCCCAATGTAAGGAAGTTCTCTTTCCCACTGAGGTGGAACTTGTTGTGTTTCAGTTTATGGCCTTTATTGCTTGCCCTGTCACTGAGCACCACCGAAAAGAGTCTGCCACCATCCTCTCTGGGCACCTGCCTTCGAGATATTTGTGTGTTTTGATGAGATCCTCTCCCTGGACTGAGCAGGCCCAACTCCTGCAGTCTCTGACCGTAAGAGAGATTCCAAAACATCTTTGTGACCCTTTGCTGGACCCTCTCCAGCAGCTTCTTGTCTTTCCTGGACTGAGGAGCCCAGCACTGAGCACTGCACTTTGCTCGCCTGTGGCTGGCTCGCTGCTGGCTCCCGCTCGGCAGCTGCCTGGGGCGGGTTTCCCGGCGGGGCGGGTTTCCCGGCGGGGCAGGCGGGGGCCGCTGGCGCAGCCCCTTCCGGCGGCGGGGCGGGCTCGGGCCCGGCGCGTGCGCGGCGGCGGGCGCGCGGCCATGGCGGACGCGGTGCTGTTCCGGCGCGGCACCGGGCAGGTGGGAACGGCGGGCGGGCCGGGAGCGGGGCCGGGAGCGGGGCCTTGCCATGGCGCTAAAGGGTGTGTGGCCTCCGCAGAGCGACGACTCGGACATCTGGGACGACACGGCCCTCATCAAGGCGTACGACAAGGCGGTGGCCTCCTTCAAGGTAAGGGGTACGGCGCGGCCGTGCCTGGATGCTGGGGCTGAGGCCGCTGAGGTCGGCATTTATTTGTTTTCTCCTTTCTTTTCTCTAAGAATGCCTTAAAAAATGGGGAGTGCTCGGAGCCTTCAGACAAGCAGGAGCAGCGCCTGATGATAAAGAGAAAAAACCATAAAAAGAACAGAAATAGAAACAAGAGCAATACAGCGCCTTTGAAACAGGTCGTCTCACTTGTAAATGCCAGTGGTGCTTGTGCTGCATGTTGTACTTCCCTACTCAGAAGCTGCTGCTTCATCACCTTGAGAGTAACATTTAGGGATGGTGGTGTGGGGTGATAACGTTGTAAACTCTAGGTTACATAGAGGAATTTCAGCAAATACAAAGGAAACACTGTAGGTGGGATCCATCTTTCTGGACAAAATGTAGCTTAGATAAAGGTACGTTCTGTCCAGCGGTGTAGGTATTTACATGCTTCTCTTGCTTCTGTTGCAGTGGAAAGTTGGTGACAGCTGCAGTGCTGTTTGGTCTGAGGATGGTAATTTGTATCTAGCAACTATTGCCTCCATCAACCAGAAGAGAGGCACCTGTGTTGTCACTTACACAGGATATGGAAATCAGGAGGAGCAGAACTTGTCTGATTTACTTCCTCCAGCCAGCGATGAAACAGTAAATGGGATGGGGCATTCTGGGGAGGTGAGGGACTTTTACTCTTCTATAAAGAATTGGGAAAGTGGGAGAATCAACTTCTTGTAGTATGCCTGGTGGTAGTGCTGGTGTTCAGAGTGAGAAGTGATGCACAATTCTGTTGTAAACAGACACAAGTTGATGGAGGGAATGGAAGCATCCCTTTACTTCTTGAACTCAGCATGGAAGAAAGGAAGTGGACAACAAGAAATTCACCAGTGAAAGACAGCATAGCTAAAATGATGGGCAGATAAAGTTATTCCTGTGTAGGACTGGGAGGGCTGGAGAGAGGGAAGGATGTGAATCAGACTTTCCAAGCTTTTTCGCATTAAAATTGCTTTTGTAAACTCCTGTTTCGTGCATGTCATAAAAATGTCTTTGTCTTCTAGAATGAAAATGAGACTCCATATTCAACAGATGAAAGTGAAAAATCGTTCCAGTCACCTCGAAACAAAAACAACTGCACAAAAGCAAGATTTTCCCCTCAAAACTTGAGATTTCCCACACCACCACCACCACCAGCCCCAGGCCTAGGAAGGGTAAGCTCAACCTTAATTGAAATAATTTATTTACCATTGCTAAGTGTGGTATTATTGTGAATCCTGAGACAATATGATATTTATCATTGTCTAGAATTCAATTAGCAGCATTTTGAGAATGGATGTACAGATTATGCATGTCAATATCTGTTGCTCTGCCATTTTGTAGTTATCTGGCCACAGCGTAGTCCTTCTGCAGTGCTGCTGTGACAAGAACCTTCTGGTCCTTAGCTAACACTTGCTTTCCAATTGCCTTTTAGCTTAAAAGAGGGATGTTCAGTTTTCCTATTGTGTAGGAGTCTAAATAATAGTGCAGTTGTTTTCTGAAACATGGCATTATGTTTTCTAAATATTACTGTTTGTGCAAGATTTCTTTATAGGGTTTTATTTTATCTTTTTTCTGTTGTGTCAATAGATTTGTGTCTAGACGTTTATTTAAGGACATTCACTAGCACAATGGAATTCAGTCAACTTTTGCCCCATCTGCACAGGAGCAGAGACATTATCTGTTTTCCTGTGTGAATATTTGATCTGTTTCTTCCTGTTGAGAGTGTGACCATTGACTTCCACCTAGGAAAGCCTTTTGAAAATGCTTCTAGAAATGCTTCTAGCCAGAGCCCTGTTTCAGCAGTGTTAGGTATACCTGAGTGACATGAGTGATCTGAAGTTGTACTTCTCAAGTTGTGGAATGTGCCTCAGAAATAGCTATTTTCATGATTATATACTTGTCTGTATTTTCATTAAATTGCTGCGATGTGTTGTCTATTGTTCAAGGACGTGAATTGTTTCACATAATTCTCTTAAGTAAAATGCTAATACACCAAATTCCCTTTTAATTTATACTCTTCCTCCTTTTTTTTTTCTATGTAGTCTGGATCAAAATTCAAGGCACCTCCATCATTTTTATCTTGCTGGCCCCCACCCTTCCCAGCAGGACCACCAGTAAGTGACAAAAGAACAGGGAAGATGAGTATTGGTGATCTCAGGTTTTCTCACTGAATGTGCTCATTCCCTGTGGTTTTAGAACAGAATTGTTCTGTTTGCCTGTATTTTTCATGTATTTGTTGACACATTCAGTTCCAAATAGAATGATAATCTAACGTACAAGATCTGCTTTGCACTCATTTCTGTGACAGTGAAGCTGTTGGTAAGAATATCAAGGGATAAATTATTTAAAGAAACTATAAGTTAACAGCATTTCACTGAAGAAGATAGTATTTTCCCCAGTAACACTTCTTGTGTGCAGTACTCCTGTGAAGCTACAGCAGTCTTGTTTCTCCTAGGCTTTGGAAATTACATGTGTTCAGGAAGCAGCATCTCTGACTCCTATTCAGAGAACAAACTTGAGGATATGTTTCTATTTTTCATTTTTATGTTTTAATCTTTTAGAATTAGGTGCTCTCTAATCTGGGAAGCACCCTATTGAAACACAGACATTTCCTTTGTGATTCCTTAGCTGATTCCTCCTCCACCACCCATGAGGCCAGACTCTGCTGAGGACGACGAAGCATTGGGAAGCATGTTGATATCCTGGTACATGAGTGGTTACCACACTGGATATTACCTGGTATGTGCTGCTGTGGTTTTGAAGTGTCTTGGTAGTTTTGCACTGCTGCTGGTGCTCCTGTTTGCAGCAAGAAGCCATGCAGGGAGCGTTGCTTTTTTATCCTGATTTACTGTCGCTACATTTAAGGTTGTTTTGTATTGTGTAAGTACTCAGTTGAGTAGAATTCACGTGAGCCAGCATATATATATGTATATGTATATATATATAGTTAGTTATATATATATAGTTATAGTTTTTTGTTTTAGTGCTTTGTTCAGCTGGAGGGGTCATGTCAGGTACTTTTATAGCCACTGTTTTACAGCCATTCTAAAACAACCAATTCTGTCTTTGTAGACACGTGGAGTAAATACAGTTATTTTTCAGTAGTCTTCTACATATTTTTTTTTCAGTATGGGTGGTAGATCAGATTTGTCACTTTTGCAGACATTGTTCGTCAATAATTGTTTCATGTCATTGTGAAGGTCCAGTAGAAACTGTCTACGGTGAAAAATCTGTGACTTGTATTATTGATTCATATTTTCATCTGTGCACTTATGAAGAAAGAAAATGATGTGATGAACTCTTTGCACTGAGGAAGGTGGAAAAGGAGGATTTTGTGCTTCAGATTACATATAACTGTGGATTGCTTTAATTTACTTTCAATTGAACAAGTATATATTTGAAATTATTTTTTATAACCTCTGTTTATAAAGAGGCCATGTTGTTGGGCTTTTATTGTTTATAAACTGCCCATTTTGATTTCCAAAGAAAGTTTAAAGCTGTTTGTGATTTGTAGAGGACTGAAAAAGATTGTCCAGAAATATTTTTGTTCTGCAACTAAAGCTTTTATTTGCACGTTGGCCAAACCAAGATTTTACTAACTTGTATCCTACTTGTATGTAGGGTTTAAAACAAAGCCGGATGGAAGCAGCGCTGGAGAGACAAACACATGCCAAGTAACCACGTACGAACCATTGTTCTGAAGGATTGTAAGTATTGCAGCTTTGTGGTAAATGAAGATACAGTCAAGTTTTGAACTCCCTTCAGAAATCTCTTGTCTTTGGGACTTCCATCCATTCTTACGGCTCTCTGAAAAGGCTACTTCTGCCAGTAGTAATCCCTTCTTTGCAGCTGTGGAATTGTATTTTTGTAGCTAGAATGAAGGAAAGTATTCATTGCTCTGATGAGAGTTTTAACTACGGCATCTGTCTACATCACAATTAACAGTGCAGCTTATTTGAATTATTAATGGTTCATAGTGGCCTGTTGGAATAGAAGGTTGTAAGTGAAATGCAGTTTTTTCATCTGTGTTTCCTTACACAGATGGGAGGGTTGTAGCTAAACTTTGTTTTCAGTTTGGTAATGTTGAGCAGTTCTGTTCTCAGTACTTCAGTATCTATGATTTGAAATGTTTTGTCCAGAATTCTCCAGTGTATTGTTCACTTCCTTATAAAACAAAACTATATTCTCCTGGGGAATTGTTTTCTGATTTTCTCTGACAACATGTAATTTCTGTGTAATTTAGTAGTTCTTTGTGTGTTTAAAACAAAAAGGCTCTTTTATACTTATTTTTGCTTCTTTTTTAAAGCCAGGTACAAATCTTTTCCACTGAGAGGTGTGTAACACTTATGCTTTGGTGGTTGATGGTGAAGAACTGAATTTTATCAAGACAATTAATCATAGCATTTTCTTAACGCTGACCTGTCCCTGTTAACAAATAAATAACTTCAGACTAGTAATCAGATGTGCATTGAAATGAGCTGTTTCTTAAAGACCTCTAGTCAAATGTATTTCAAAGTACTGCAGCAACAAAATACTTTTTATTTCCCTGAGTCAGTTTTAAGTCTTCTTACCACGTGATAGATTTAACTCTTTTGACCCCATGTGATAGATTTCATATATCTCTCAACATGTTTTGCATTCCTCAGACTTTCTGTCTGAATGGCAGCACCAGAACAATTGATTATGGTATCCTCTTAGGGAGAGCTATGGCAGCAATGTGTGTTACAGTGGCCACTGGTGGCACTGGCATGGAAAACAGTGTACTGTCATAGTAGGAGGGACATCTTACAGGTCTCATTAGAACCATGAAATATGACAGCTTTTTTCGGGAAGGCTGTTGTCTTGTTTCAAATGTGTGAATAAAGTTCTACTTCTTAAACTTTGAGTTCAGGGATGTAATTTGTTTTGGGGTGGCTTTTGTTTGGAGCTTCCATCGGCATCTCTTGGTTGGATGAATGGCTGAAATACAGCAGAAAACCTTGATGTGTTGCCTTTTTCTGAGTTCCATTACTGAAAGCAAAATAGGGAAAGCCTGTGGAGAGATAAGTGTGGACATAGGTTTCAGCCCTTACAATGCAGGGCTGAATTTTACTCTGCTCTACTCTTAGTAGAGGCTGCAGCCACAAAACCAGGCAGTAATTTAGTTAAAGCCAGTTGTTTGCTTTTTAGTGAAATACAGGTGTGAACTTCACTGCATTCACTTCCTTTTCCTACTGTGGTCATGTGTCAAAAATTCAGTTTTCCCACAAGTAATTGAGCAAAACCAGACTTATTCATAACTTACCTAAGCTACTTTGAAAGCTTTTTTTTTTTTTTTTTAATTGTCTAGGTGATGTAAATTAAGACTGACTGCATTGAAGCAAAGGTTCTAAATAATCTTTTCAGATTGCTGAAGAGGACAGAACTATTCAATCAGTTGTCTTGGTGCCTGGCATGGTTAGAAAAAGTGGCCTTCATTAGTTTTAAACACTAGTAAAATCTAGCATACAACAATTTTACTGCAGTTCTGACTTTTGTAAAGGGGCTTATGTTTTAAACAAATTATTCATGTAATTGATTTAACTGCAAACAAAACAGCTGGATAGAATATTAACAAAAGTGTGTACAAGAAAGAGGCAAGTGATTCACACATGAGTGCTGACTACACTGAGAACTCCCAACAACAGCTGGCCACTCCCAGGACATGTTTCCTGGAAAGGTTCCTTCTTCCATCCCCATCAAAGATGTGATGTGGTATAGAATAATCTCGGACTCCTAGTCATGGCCTCTCCTGACTGATGGAAAAATTAACCCTATCCTGGCTGGAACCAGGACAATGCTTATTTGCAATGGAGATGTATAGTTAATAACACAAGAAGACGGGGGAAAAAAACCCCAAACCCTAACACTTTCAAACTTTTCTAGGCTTGAAAAATTGGTGAGAGGGGCAAAACCCATTGCCAAGGTAATTTTAAACTCCTACACTAGGGATCCTCCATCATGATACTAGACATTTTAAGGGCCTACGTGTCAAGGAGCCAGCCCACCATTGCTATTGTCACAGGACCAGACAATCAAGGAGCGGTGATGAAAAGCCACCATTACTGCTGCTCTGGCTGTGCTCCGATGTGTGAACCTGTGGATAATGGCTACTTCTTTTAAAGCAGACATACTACAAAGTATTCTAAAGGAATTTCTGTAATATAGTGATTTGCTAACAGCTTTCCAAGCTTCTGGAAACCTCCGTAGTTTGCTACTTTCACTGCAAAATCAAACAGGCATCAAGGATTTAAAGATGCTCTAAAGCTATATGAAACATGAACAAATAAGCAGTGAAGCTGAGGTCTGGTACATTAAAAATAAAGGTTGTTGCTGCTAGGTTGAAAAAAATAGTACAGCTTTGAACACTACACATTTGAGCACTGTGATACTCAGACTGAGGAGACTATCTGATAAAGGATACTCTAGCAGGCATATCAATCAATGCCTAGTAGAATAAGATACTGGTGTGTTTACAAGTGTTCAAATACCACTCTTACAGAACAAAGCAAATAGAACACCCACTTCTGCAGCCACTGGAGATCAGACATCAGATCAGCTCTGCAGAGATTGAGACACCAAGCATAACAATCTCAGGCCTGAGTACCATCACATGAGCTTTCCAGCCTTGCATTATGGTCACCCTACTTACAAGATGTGACTCCTGTAATTAAGTCACTATATATACTGAAATGTATGTAAAAAATAAAGGAAGATAATATGACAAACTTGGCATTTGTTTACAGAAAAAAAAACCCCAAAACATTTTCCCTGGCCTATGCATAACATGGTAGTTTTAAGACTATACTAGAAAAGAATAACATTCGAAAAACATTTGAAAATACAGAGTTTTAACAGCTAGGGCATATAAGCTAATATAACTAGAAACAAATTTATGAAACTCTACTTTAAGTCAGCCTGTTTTTCCACTGTTTTTTTTTTTTGTAATTTCCATTGCTTTGTAGAAGGGGAACTAAGAAGTCATTTCATTAGAGGTCTCAGCAAAGTCTAGTATGTAAGCAGGCTGAAGACAGTTTGAGGAGCAAGACATTTTGAGTTGTGTATAAAACAAACAGGAAGAAGTAACACCTATTAAAAATGACAATTTGCAATTGTTGTAAAGTATACAAGCAGAAGTTTAATATATCCTGAAGCAGTGTCCTCTCAGATACTTTTTTTTCATTTGAAATTCTCTCCTTTAAACTCACCTAGTTCTAACAGGCTGTTATCTTGCAGTCACGGGTTAAATGGGAAGCATCTGAGGTACAGCAGGTGTAGACACTGCTAAACCATCAGTTTGGCTGCAGACTTTATTCTTTTACCTTGCAGGAAGGATGAGCTCCTTCAGATTAAGAAAAACAACAAAATTTTATGCAGAGACAAGATGACCTTTCCTGTTAAAGATTAAACAACTATATATTTCCTGAATATTGTGCCAAGGAGTGACAGCAGCAGATGCAAATTAAAAAAAATCCATTAAAATTTAGATTTTGGGCAATAGCTTACTATCTGCTTTCCTTTCGCAGGTCTGCCCCTGCTGTTGTTGTTCATTCTGTAACTCAATAGCTTACAAAGGTCATCAACAGAAAAAAAAAACTACATCTCCAGAGAGGATGTAGGAGGTCTCGTGAGTACTTTAGAGATACAAGGAATTTTCCATTGACAGACTCAAGGAACGCACAGGAAAGGAAGGGGAGGGGGGCAGGGCAGAAACAAAGGGTAATCCTCCCTTCTCAAAATGCAATCCGTGTCATCCTTCCCCTGTTCCCTCCAAACCTGTTTTTTGCAGGTGGACTGTGTTTGGCTTTCAGAGGTTCTGAGCACCTCTGATTCTAGTTGAGGACATGCGTTCAGCTCATCCCTCTCAGAAGGACCTGAACACAGGCTCCTCCTCACATCTGCTTTATGAGACCTGATTCAATGTTATTTTCCTAGTAACACCAGACAAATAAGAGTCCAGATAAATGCTTTCTCCTTTCTAAAAACATACCTTCCTTGCCACTCTTTGCTCTGGCTTTCACCTCAGACAGGGCCAGGGCAATTTAATTTCAATTTCCTTGTCACAACTTTTGCAAAAGCCATTCTCATTTTTCAGCTGCATTACTCTCCTAATGGAAAGCCAAGACAAGATTTTAGCTAGGCACCAGGACTGTACTGAACCTCTGTCCCACTTGCATTGGAAAGTGGATCTTTTACTTGTCCTGTGTTAATATAGCTAACCAGTTCAAACTTAGTAAGAGCAGTGGCTTCCAAATGGGCTTCTGCAAGACAAGTTTTTTAAAAAAGGCTGGTCAGACTCCTCCATCCTCAAAGATGCTCAAGGTGAGATTGCCTTTGCAATCAAAGATACTTGATTAGTTAGGAAATCATTGGCCTGCTATCACATTCTCAAAAGCAGGGGCAGAACTGGATTGCCAGCATCTTGGGCTTACTGGAAAACAAACAAAATCTGGGGCTGAGGGTGGATCCAGCCACACCTGAACTTCTTTCTCAGAAGGAGTTTAGAAGGTAAGCGGGTCCTTTTTGCACTTCATGTCTCAATGGTAGGGTCTCCCTGATAAACTTTGTCTGAAGCTCCCATTCTGACCATGACAGAAAGCATCATTCAAAAAACTGAAGCGTTTCTAACAAAGAAAAAAGGCTCAAAACTCCTGGCAAATGAAGTGAGTAAAATAAAATCAGACAGGCTCAGTAAAAAAATAAAATGAGAACAGCTAAAATAATTTAAACCTTCTTCCAGACAGCAGGAATAAAAAGTCCGTGAAGAGAGCTTGCAAAGCCATCTGCTAACCAGGCTGTAAAGGAACCCTTCCAAAGGGACAATACAATTGCAGAGGATTTGAAGTGACACTCTCTGGAATAATTTTATTAATGTCTACTGCATACAAATTCAGGGAGATTCCCATTGTCTAAATCAGAAAAGGGGAGAGCACATAGCAGAAGGTAGATCCAAAATCAAAGCAATTATGGCTCAATGGGGAAAATATATTGCCAATTTTTCAAGAGCAGTCTGCACCTCTGGGCTAGAGGAAGAGACATTGTATCTGTAAGCCTGGCATCTGTTACAGACTAATAAACAGAAAAAATATAATGATGTCACTGTAAAAACCCATAACTGATCCACATCTTAAACAGTGCATTTGAAAGAAGTCCCCTCAACTCAAAAAAATACTGCATTAGAACAAGACAAGGTGCAGGAAACACAGCAAGAATGATAAAGTAGAACAATTTTTGCCTGAGGATCAAGTGAGTTGCCTGTATTCTTCATCATGAGGATGAGAGCATTTATGGAGGATACAGTGTATTGCCAAATGATACATGAAAATAAAATTGTACTCCTTCAAGTGCTGTAAGTAGACTTGTGCTATTCTATAAATCAACAATGCCTCCCAGCTTTGCTTTCAATTACCTGTAAAGAAAAGCCCAGCTCTGGCAAGTAAATCATGGTTTGCTCCCCTGGCATAAAACAGCCATCTCTCACAGGACTGCATCCTGCACACTGTACCTGTAAGTGTCTCTGCTGGGTTCTGCAACCTCTGAACACGGACATCATACTTTGAAATATTACCCACACTTTTGCCCAGGGCAAATTCAAAAGGGGGACAGAATTTCTTGCGCTGTTCACATGGGGTACATCTAACCATCATGGTAAATAAAACTAACCCACAGCAAAAACACTGCACACTAGACTGAACAAGGAAGGGTATGTGAAAAAAAGCAGCAGTTGCCAAAGACCACCATTTCTGTCAAAGACCACGATGAATGAGATGTATAGGACAAAAAGGACTTTATAATATTCATTTTTTATGGTAGAGTTTTAACTCTTCTGCAGTTGTGCATGGACATCCTGGAAATCTGTCT